CCAACGATCACTATCGAAGTATTTTGCGGCAATAATAGACAGTCGCTATTCTGTACACGAATTATGTAGAACACAGGAATAATTACTGCAAATATACAGGGTGGCTAAAAATTACGTGCACCATATAAAACGTCCAAACTGTTTTTTCTCACAAAAATTTGAAGTTAGTCAATTTTATGAGAATCAAGCCATGACATTTTATGTTTGATGACACAGTATCAAAGTGGCCGCTACCGATATGTATTGATACAGACCTCAATTTGTCTCCTTCATCGCGTCGATGGCGCGACAGAGGTATTTAGGATATATTATTACTACTACTACTTTATTATTGTTATTGGACATTTCTTCTAAAGGTCACCAAACTTTTCATTCCGACTCCTTAGTAGCTCAAGCCAATAATTAATAACAAAACCATATAATATTTTAGTAAGAAAAAAGTGCAAAAATTTCTCAATCAATGTTTGAATATGCGAAATATCTTCGAGTGATTCTTGCCGCTATGTATGCACGTAGTGAGTTATGGACAAAACCTTGAAAAAAAACCAAACCATCGAAAACTAACTAACGGCGAGGAGCTTCACTTTTAGGGCTGGCAGTGATTATCTGAAATTAGTGAAAAATATACCCGCCTCACTATCGCTGGCACAATTCAGACGCCGTGTAGTTAACTTGCTACGAAGCAATGCCGAGTCCTAACGTTTTCTGAGACTGATTAGCGAACCATATTATCTTTGGTTTTACGTAATTGGTTGTTTGTATAAGCGTTAATAGTTACCCTTGTGTTCCTATCATATGTAATAAACCTATACTTATTATCTTCTCTGGCTTCGCATTTATCCGTAAGCTTCGGTGCATTGCGCAATTATCACGAACCTAGAATACTCAGACGACTCCAGCGCGGCGGTTAGCCTTGCGCGGGTCCCAGGTTCTTTTCCATTCTTCTTATTTGCCTTTGGCTGTTTGCTGATCCAGCGCTACCTGACTGGGCAGAGGCAGCCTGCAGGGGACTAAGGCGGGAGTAAGAAGTGGTCGTGGTATCTTTCGTCCCACGGGATAGCCTTACCAGGGCGTTCCCGTTGCTCAAGGAGAGCGCCGTCCCACCAAGGGCTTGGGCACTTTGGGTTCTTTAGTCACGGGAATCGGTATGGGGTTTCGGCGCAGCCCTATCCTGAAGGATATTCCGATCCCGCCTCAAGCTCGTACACCACTACAAGGTAGAACCCATGTACAAGAATTATTAATACGTATTATCACATACATAGTTAATTCTCGTAATTGGTAAAGCTCGCCAATGTACTAATATGTTTTGCACAGCAATCATTGCCTCTAGAAGTGAATAATAAAGGTAGAATTTGATTGACCTTGGTAGGTTAGTATTCAGAATTTCATCTCTGCACCATGCTCGCGGTAGCGACTCGCCCAGTACTCCATCCATGTTAAACGAAAGTTCGAAGCAAGGATCGAATTTACCAGTGGACAGACTGACAGCGCCGATAATTGGTCTAAAACGAATTCGAGCTCAAGAACTCTATGATGATTATGATTTATTGTTAACATGCAAATTAGGTTCCCATATAGGCGTCCTGTCTCGAAAACGTTCACCAAATTGAAACCTCCTGTCAGAGGAGGTGGTATATACAGGGGGGGGGCAAAAAAAGACATTTTGCCTATGTCGCACTTCGGCTTTTTTTTCTTCGCAGAGATTGCCGTCGTTGACGGAAGTTCCTCAGCAAAATATTCCCTAAATGTCCCTCTATAAGTACACGCAGGCCCTCCTTCACTGCCCTCACCGTCTTCAGAATATGACGTCATCTGTCACCGTCGTCAAGCTCAAGGAGGTCTACCGTAACTGCTTCAGCCTGAAGCTCTTACGCAATTTCGTGAATCGAATGTTGGATAGTTTTCTAGAGGCATTAGCTCCCACTATGCAAACCCCTCGAAACTAGCTTTCCAGTAAAGGTCGTTATGGTACACGATCCTTCGAAGACCCCATTGAGCTCGACCAGTGCACCATGTTTCCGGGGCAAATTTTTCTGATGCCGTCCACGTAGGTGGCCACTATGAAGATTTTCTTATAAAATGAAATGTGCTCTTCAATACTAAGTTGGAACCATTCGGTTTGAATTGAGCAAAGTGTGATTAAATCCATCTGAATGTGGAGACAAAATGTCTTTTTTTATTGCCCCCCCCTGTATACCACGAGTAATCAAGGGGTCAAAAAGCGCAATAGAGATTGTAGCGCTTCACATTGCATTTTTTTACACAATTAGTGGCATTAGCATTGCAAAGTGCGGC